AAAAAAAAGATCTGTATAAACGAGCGCCGAGCCCAATCTCGAGGCTCGACCAAGTAATAAATAAGCGTGAAGCCCAATTACGAGGCTCGGTCAAGTACCGCAAGTCTAATTAACGTTCAAGCAGAATCCCCATCAGACTCTCGTTTGTTGGTTGGGATGGGATCTTAGGAGAAAAAGGAAAGCCCTGAAACAAAGTAAGCGTCGAGTCCAATTGCGAGGCTCGACCAAGTAATAAATGAGCGTTGAGCCCAATCTCAAGGCTCGGCCAAGTAATAAATGAGCGTCGAGCCCAATCTCGAGGCTCGGCCAAGTATAAATGAGCGTCGAGCCCAATCTCGAGGCTCGGTCAAGTAATAAATAAGCGTCGAGCCCAATTGCGAGGCTCTGCCAAGTAATAAATGAGCGCCGAGCCCAATCTTGAGGCTCGACCTAGTATAAATGAGATCTCGACCAAATAATAAATAAGCGTCGAGCCCAATTGCGAGGCTCGGCCAAGTTATAAATAAGCGTCGAGCCCAAATGCGAGGCTCGGCCAAGTAATAAATGAGCTCTGGACCCAATCTCGAGGCTCGACCAACTAATAAATGAGCACCGAGCCCAATCTCGAGGCTCAACCACGTAATCAATAAGCGCCAAGCTCAATCGTGAAGCTCAGACAGGTAATGCGCCACCATAATTAGTGCGAAAAATTGCACAAGTCAGGCTCGACAAAGAAGCTCAGTTAGGCCAAAGTGTCCTAACACTAAACACCGAACTCCAAACACAGTTCGGCCCAACAAAATATGGGACAAGGTGCTCTCATTCATCATACATTCATCACATGCATTCATCATACATTCACGCATTCCTCATATGACCGCATTATGCGTACAATCTCGTAAGAAACAAAGAGCTCAAAGCTCACTCAGACAAAGAGATCTAAGCTTGCTCATGTCGACAATTCAAAATGCATTCCTACGCCAAAAAACAGGTACTAAATCGCCCGACCAGGCCATCCAGGCCCTCCCAAATTTGCAAAAATTGCTTATTCGGTCAAAACCGATTCCACTCATCGAAGAACAAAGCGTTAGTATCATAAACCCGCCAGACCAAAGCCTAAAATGATCAACAAAACGTCCAAGGATCCCAAAGCGCTCAAAAATTGCATACTAACTCGCGATAAAATTACCATTTTTCGTAAATAAAACCGACAAGGTAAAGAGTGATCCCCTGAATCACACAAAAATTATCCGACATGCGCATTCGTCGACATATTTGCGATCTTACCAATATCTCTCATTATGTGTAAATACTTACACAATAAAAAGACCTCGAAGCCAAAAGATCATGATGCGAAAACATTGCCAAATTGTAACGAATAAACGCGAATTCAGAACAGTGGAATCCAAAACATGTCCTAAACTCGGGGGCCTCCTGTTGATACCCAATTTGGCTTTGATTAATTATATAATAAAATAATAAGATACGGCCCGATAACCAAGGAGCCGAAATCAAGACTTCTGTCGCTCCATGCCCGCAGGGGTAGAGAGTCCGTCGTTGTTACGGCTGGGCTAAGCGATCTGCCGAAGCTGTGGGATGTAGAAATACATCGGTAGGGGAGCGTTCCGCCTTAGAAGGAAGCCTCAGCGCGAGAGGCGGTGGACGAAGCACAATAAATAAAGATGCGAACAGGTTCTCATGACTGATTATCCAAAAGCCGATCGGATACCTAAATGTCGAGTCCGCCTACTGTTGACCCGGACAGAGTCTTAATTAATTGAATGGCCCACACATCACGAAGAAGCCGTCTTCAGTAAACGCGATAATTACCGAGAAGACAAACGTCAATTAGAACCGTCAAGTCACAAGCGGACCCCACGATGATTACCACACAGTAAATAATGTATTACTTTTGATTTATCTATTTTAATTACCCACTTGTACAAAATGGACGGGAATATATATGTAAAGAAAGGTGAAAGAGAGGGCACTCACTCATATTTTATTCTCTCTTCTCCCTACAACTCAAAAAAAAAGAGAAAAACACTCTCCGAATAAGAAATAAAATCATCCAATTTCAACATTTTTCTTCTTCATTTTCGTACAAGAAATTAGATTTATATTTTACGGTTGATCGTCCGATTTTCGACATCAGCAATCCCGAAGCATGCGAGTCTGTCACTTAGGCTCAACATGTTTTGAATAAATATATAGGGAGATAATATTTAAAATAAAATAAACAAAGTTATATTTGATGTAAAAGTAGATGAAAGATAATGTGAAATGATGATTAGTTAAAATTATGTAAGTTGATGAATAGTATATTAAAGTGATTTGATGTGTAAGAAAGATTGGTTAATATTATTTAATTATATTAATAATATTGGAGATAGTAGAATTGAGTTAAAACTGGTTTTTTTTTTCAAAACGATAGAGGTATTATATAAATAAAAACCGCACAATGTGCGAAGAGAAACAGCCAAAGGCTGAATAATACAACTGGAGACTGGAAAAACTGGGAGGCAGATCCAAAGATCGCCTAAAGCCTGACCTAGCAACGCTAGAATAATAAAGCTCACAAACTACACCAACCAACAACTCCAACAAAAACTAAAAACTAACAAGGCTCCCAACAGGAGAATACCAGAGTGTCGGCTCCCAACAGGAGAATAAATTTGACACTCGGACGCACAGAGACCAACGGTCCAAACCTAAAACACAATCGAACAGTAAACAAACACAGACATACAAGCACAAAAAACACAAAAAACAACCTAAAGAAAACAACCCAAAAGAGCCCTCCCCCGGCGAACAAACAAATCCAAACCAGCAGTGGACGATCGACACAAGAAAGATCCTAGCCTGAGAATCCGCTACTGAAACTGCATACTGCCTATACAATAGAAGAAAATTGATACCTGAACCGATCCCAGAATCGACCCATCATCAACCGAAAGAGCCTCGACCGACCCTCACACAGGCCCCATCCGAACTCGATGAGCTCGAAAAAACCTGGTCCCCCTCCGCCTAACACCACTAGGCAGACGGGGTCGCGCAAAGGTTAATCGCACCCTTATCCCCAATCGCCGCAACAACCAAGCCGCAGTAACCGAAGACTTGGCCCACCCCTCAGTACTTGCGCTACTCCGAACAACCGCAGAGCTCTGACGAAAGAAGTCCAACCCCACCGGAACATGCAAGCCCGCCGGAGAGCACAACCCAATCGACAGAAGAACAAAGAAAATTGATCGGACTTACCCCCACGGAGCAGCTCCCACCGGCAATTGAGATGGAGACTCAAACCACATGCAAGGAGCTGAACTTGAAGGCCGCCGCAACCACCAACCGAAGCCATATCTGCCGGCAATCGACTGGACCTCAACCGCAGAGCAACCATGGCTAAATCGGAACCGCGCTTACCAGGAGAGGGGCGTTCAAGGACGACCCCTGGCCGTGATTTTGCCTTCAACGGGGGAGGCGAATCAAGCGAAATCAGAGAGCTAGGTTTTACTGTGCGGGTTTTGGGGAAATCGCTGTTTTGGGGAAATCAAGAAGAAAATGCATTAGTTAAAACTGGTTAGATTTGGATTATAGATTGAATATGAATTGAGTTTATTTCCACACAAGCACAACCTAGTTGTTTGTAAATCATACAAACCAACTAAGTTGGAACTTTGAACTTAGGGCTTCCTTGTTTATAAGTATACCAACAAAGATATCCAATAACATCTCAAATTTAACTTAACTTTGGTTCTCAATGTTATTGATATAATTAAATGGTATCAATCAATCATTTCTATCATCATAACTTTATTTCAATATGCATTCACTCGTATAATATTAATCACTCTTTCACTTATCTCTTACTTTTATATCAAATCAACTTTAATAATTTTATTTTAACTAATATTTTGATACAAACTCAAAATCTCACTCAAGTCAAAACTAACCCAACAAACTATTTCAAATTTAACTATGGTTAACCAAAAAAAAAAAATCAAAACCAAAAATATTTATAAAAAGCATGCACTAAGGGCTTCTTTAAATAAACCAGTTTAACTATTATTTTTATATAAACTCTAAATCTCATCAAAACTAACCCAACAAACTTTTTCAAAATTAACTACAGTTAACCAAAAACCAATCAAAACCAAAAATATTTATAAAAAAAAACATGCACTAACAATCCTTATATTTTAAATTTTTAGATAAGGTTTTAAATTTTTTTATAATGATTTACTATTTTGGTCTCTTAAATTTAAATCGATTTAGTGATTTATGTATAAAATTGAGTACTTATTAGTTGGATTGTTACATTTTTTATTGTTGATTTTTTTACTCCTTTTTTTTTGTGTGAAATCACATATTTTGAACTATATTTATTTTTTTTTCAAAAAAAAAAAATGTTCCTTTGATAAGCTTTCATCAACAAAAATGTTATGGAATGTTGTGTAAATTTTCAATTTAAATTAAATTTTCAACCAAAAAACTTATTTTTTCCATATATTATAGATGTTGAACTTAAATATAAAATTAATGAAATCTATTTTTTTATTCTTTTTAAAAACTGAGTGTTTCTACTTAAACTACAAATTTGCTATTTAATACTTAAAATCGGGTCCTTCTGAGTAAAATTTCTGGATCCGTCATTGAGTTGGTTCTTGAAAACTTTGCGCATGTATATATAAAGAGAGATTATTTGTACACTTGAAACAGTTGCAACGAGTTTATCTCTCTCCGTTTTGTATGTTTTACAATTTATAGGTTTTGAAGTTGAACTATCTAATTTTTCCTTATTTCATTGAAGAGAAAATTAATGATTAAAAATAACTTAAGATTGGCCATTGTTAGTGTACAATTGTAGAGTTCTACAAGCGATCAAATTGGGCTATGGCCAATCTATGCTAGCAAATTGGGTTCAAGTTGACTTGGACTTGCCATTGGGCTAATTTTGGTGCTTGAGCTGCATATCTCATTTCTACATGGGTGTTCACGGTCCGGTTTTAACCGAAAAAACCGTCAATTCGGACCGCAGATCGGTTAAATGGTCGGTTAAAAATGCTTTAAAAAATCCGGTGATTAATTTTTTTAAAATCTCGGAATAACCGGTCCGGTTAACGGATTACTTGCGGCAAACAGCCGGTTTAACCGGACCGGACCGGTATATATTAAAAACTTATAACAAATATATATACATTCAGTCATTCATTATGACCGACAAATACAATACATTCACTTTCACTTTGTTGTCTTTTGTTGACTTAATTTTGTAAGATACTATAACTTTTTACTTTTTTCCACTTTCGTTTTTCATTTTCAAATTTTTCCACCTCTCCTTCCTAATTTTTTGGGACGAAATGTGTATTTTATGCTTATGGGACGAATTGTGTATTTTTTATTTTATTATCGTTGTTTTTCTTAATTTATATGCCCAAATAATCTCTTTTAGTTTCAAAATTGAAAAATAAAAATTAAAACAAAATGAAAAAAATAAAAATTGAAAGCCCAAAACAAGATTTTTTGATTTAACCGGTTAACCCCCAAACCGGACCGTCCAATGCGGTCCGGATTGTGGCCTAAAAAAATAAAACTTGTTCGGTTATGGACAAGAAAAAAAATTAACCGTTAGGTCCGATTTGGTCATACTTTGGGCTAAAACTGGACCAATCCAGACCGTGAACACCCCTACTACATCATCATATCATCCCACCTCTTCCAATCAACGCCCCACTAGCCTAGAGCCTCCATCCAATTTTTTTATTTTTAACTTTTTTTACCAAGAACATATTCCATCACAAGAACGGGTGGGGTTGTGTTTCAATATATAGTTGGAACTTGCACATAATCAATGTTGTTGAATCCGTTAGCAAAATGCTCAGCATTAGAGCAACTCTAATGCTGCAGATTACGCTAGAGTAGAGAACAAAATAGCTATCCAGCATTGTGCTACATCTCTACACTACTCTAGAGTGTCGAACAATATCACGCTACATCTGGCGCCGTACTATTCATTACTCAATAATTTTTTTTATATATATTTTATTATATGCAATTGATATATCGTAAAGATTTATTGTTTGACAACATTTTTACCATTAAATTTATAATTTAATTTGAGGATTATGTAAAAAAATATTATTTTTTAAAATATATTTTATATTGAATAACTATAAAGTAAATCAAATAATATAAAAATAATAATTCTTTGTGGAACAATATTTGAAATCAGTGGAATACCAGCTAACATCATGATATATTTTATTTTATAGAATAATATTTTGGCATGTTAAATTAATAAATTAAAATAAATAGGTAATATATGTGGAGTAGATTCAGTAGAATGTAGTGCAAATGGTTGTAGACCGATTTTTTGATTTTTGGTAAACTCTACTCTAGAGTAGAGTAAAACTCTACACTAGAGTAAAGATTAACGACTGAAGATGGTCTTAACAAACTTTATTGGTAGTTAATTTATTCGTCATAAAAAAAAAGGCAGACTCTCGTATGCGGTCGATCTCTTGTCATAACGAATGGGCAGACCATCATATTTGGTTGGCCCCTCGTCGCAAAAAAGAGACGGGCCCTCATATTTTCCAACTTCTCGTCATAAAAAAAAAAAATAAAAAAAAAAAAAAGACGGACCCTCATATTCAGTTTGCCCCTTGTCATAGAATCAGCCCCATATTGAACATCTTCTTTTAGAATTTAACGTGTTGAACATCTCATAGAATCAGCCCCATATTTTTTTTTTTTTTGGTACAAAGAATCAGCCCCATATTGACATTGTTGAAAATTTTATTACGTTGAAAACTTTATGTGTTTACCGTTGTAAATTAATTACGTTTTAACCGTAAAATTGCGATTTATTGCTAATGATTTTTGTAATAACAATAGCCATAAAAATAGAGCGAAAGAAGTGGAAAAATGTTTTCCAAATTAAAAATATACTAATAAATAATGGGAAATATGTGATTCAAACAATTATTTACAGCCAATGAGCGACTTTCTACTGAATTCCTTTACAATTTTCCAGTTTGAACCACATATCGCCCAGGTTTTTCTACTCTCAACCTAGACGAGTCAACTCACCAACCAACTCGCCCGAACCCGGACCCGTCGTTAAGACTCATTCATTTATCATCCGCGATAACGGCGTCAGCGTCCCACCAGGTTTCGCCGTCAGACTCTAACGGCCGCCTAACATTCCTCACGTCGCCAACCGCCAGCACCCCTCCGACGTCATCCCTGACGTACACCTTCCCAACACCGCCGGCGGAGACGCCGGCCACCTTCTTCGCCGGGAACCCCCACTCGGCGTACAGAGCCGGGACGCGGCGCGGCATCCTCGCGTCGTAGCCTCCCAAAACCACGCCGTCCCCCTTCCGGTCGCTCTCCGCCGTCAGGACCACCGCACGCGCCGGCGCGTCCCACGTGGAGACCACGCTCTGCGCGCCGCAGCCGAACAGATCCTCGTCGAAGTCCAGATTGAAACCCAAGCTGTCCCAGAGCCTGACAACGCTCTTGCCGGGAGCGAACTCCGACCACGCGCCACCCCCGTCCCGCCGCTTCCGCAGATTGCCGTCGCACCACCGCCCTCCGAAAACGCCCTTCACGCAGAAATCCTCGTCTGCGCCGCGGCGTTGACCTCCCGAATTCGCCGTCGCTCGGCGATCCTCCGCTTTTTCGTGCTCCTCCTCGTCCTCGTCGTCGTCCGAGGAGACCTCATCGTCGCCGGTGAACTCGACAACATCTTCAGGTCGATGCGAAGAGGGCTTTACTGTATGAAATCGGATCAGAATCAGCTTAATCCGTCTGATTAAGCTGCTGAAAGTGGCGTAGATTGCGAAAAATAAAGCGCCACATTTCCAAAAACTGTAGATTTGGGGGAGTTTGTTCAATCCAGGGTTTTGCAGGCATTTCATCCCTGCCTCGAAATCGCTAATCATGTTTATCTCTGTGATTTCCATTAATGGAGTCGCTATTCTATTCGTAATTTTTTTTTTTTTGAAGGAAAAAAGTAAAAGAATTGGTGGAGATGAATTTGGTGCCAAGAGAAGAGATGAGAAAGAAAATGAAAGGAGGAGAGGATTTGTGAGTTGGGATAAAAGGGATTATTTATAGGAGAATGCTACCATCCTGTTACGGGATGGTTCCGTTGTGTTTTTAAGCGTTGGATTAACTACCCATCACTAGATTACATGTATATCTATGACTAGAAAACACAACAGAACCATCCCGTTATGGGATGGTAACATTCTCCTTATTTATAATAATAAAAGCCACAAAAATTGACTACTTTATACAATTTTATTTGGTCAAATTGTATACTCATTCTTTTAAATTAAAATGTTTTAATTTAAAATAAAATATAATTATGAAATTTAAAATTATTATATTTTTTTCGTTACCAATTAACCAACCAAACCGGTTAAACCGCATGTGTTTATAATAGTGATCTACTCATTTTATTTTTTGTGGTTTTATTTTTTTATTTTTTTTTTTATTTTTTTTTTATGACGAGATTCCAGCCTTGCACCTCACTAGTCCTCGAGAAAACAACTCTGGTCCCTCAGAAACTACCTCCAGTTAAATCGCGGTAGCCAAGTTTTTATTCTCACTAGTGAACACCTCGTGCGATGCACGGACGATCTTATTAATTAACACTTTTTTTTTATTATTTTAAAAATATACTAGCACACAGATCCATTCATATTAATATAAATAATATACCCATAAAAATTTGCACGTGATCATTTCCTTTAAATGTTTGGGTTTAATTTTTTTCTAAGAATTTCAACACCCATTTAGACGTGATTTTTCAAAGATTTCAAACAAAGTTACCAAGTTTAGTAAGTCTTTCAATTTTTGAGTGAGAATTTCAGGGAAATTATTTTGACATTATTTCAGGTAAATAGAATTGTCTCTTTATATATTAATAAATTAAACAATCGACAATCTTTTTATATGGACAAAATAATTTTCCAAACCTTAAGGAGATTTACACAAATTTTCAAACTTGTTATCCTGATTCAATTGGTTTGGCCTGATTTTACACATTAATTTAAAAAAAAAAAATCAAAAAACTTGTCAAATACGGAATTAATGATTTTTTTATTTTTTTTTTAAAATACCGTAATAGTATAAACGAATTTTTGTCTGGATTTTTCATACCTTTTTTTTTAAAGATTTTTTTATTGCTATTATACAATAATAGATTTATTTATTTTTTCTTTATCTTGCCTCAAATCCTCAACTTTAATGGGAAAATATTTAATTTTCAAATAATGTATTCGTGAATATTGACCAAACTAGTACAACGCCCATGTATTACACGGGTACTTGCTAATTTTTTCTTTAAAATCTAAAATTAATGAGAAAATATATTTGAAAATTTAAAACCTTTTATAAAAATATATATATATTATTATATATTAAATATAAAACTTATTATTTGTGCGACTTACCTGTGTTATATTATAATAATTTTTATAATTTACAACATATAACTACATTAAACATCAATTGAGAAATAATTTTATTTTTCTAATGAATTTTAATAAATATTATTATTTTTTATTATTATAAAGATAAATATAATTTATTTATTTTCATATATACAATATGGATGTCAAAACGAACATTATCAAAAGGTGACTAGTTTAATATATTATATATGTAAAACATATAAAAAATACAAAAGTTATTAACTTTTAAAATACATTTACAATTCAATAGCTAATTGAAGGAAGCAAATCAAAAGTCAGGGATATATTAGTCACTTAGTGTCTCACTATGTAAAATTACAAAGAATTAAAAGGTTATATTAGTACAAGTGGTATTTAAATAACTAAGTTAGCTAAATAATATTTATGTAATGTCCGAACTTAGATTATTAATTATTAATATATCAATATTATTTGTCCAAACCTAATTACGAAGCATGATTATTCGCCAAGTAAGATTTTGAAGCACCAGAAGCAGCCACATAAGTTCAGCGCGCTCGGGAATTTTATATATAATGTAATGGGATGAGATGGGATGGGATATGAACAGTAAAAACATTGACAGAATAAAATGTCATATTTAGTCCAATTAAACATGCTTTCTTCTTTTGAATTACTCTTTTTTCAGTAATGCTTCACGAGTAAATAAAAGGATAGATTTCTACACGTTTCTTGCGTGGTGCTATTCTTATCAAGTGAGGTCAATATTTCTTAAAAGCAAAATATGATTAAGCCTAATTTCTTTGATTTTATTTTTCCTCAATTCAAAAAAATGAGTGAAAGTTTCAAGTCTGAGGACAGTCTTGTTTACCAAAATAATCTATTTAAAATGAGTTATTTTGGTTAGCTATAGTTAATTTTAAAAAATGTGATATGATTAGTTGTTTGTGGGATTTTAAGAATAAATAAAATAATAATTAAATTAATGGATTAATATTGAGTTGATGTAAAAGCAGATTTGATGATTGAAAATAATAGCTAAGTAGTTAAAATTAGGCAAAATAGCTCGCTATATCACGACATTTTCCCATATTGCTAAAACATCACGGCTTTTGGACCTTGGCGGAGAATATCACAACCTTTGATTTCTTTGCAAAACGATACACGAAAGTCAGAAACCGGCTATCTTTGAT